CGTTTGTTCGCTAGACCGACCCATTGTTCTGTCCGCTATTTTCCTCAAGAGGCTTCAAGCCGTCTTTAGTGGTGGACTCTGTCAGCCGGGCTTAAAGACTGACCTCTTGGTACCACTCTGAAGAGGCCCCAGGACCAAGAGATTACTCAAAGGCCCCGCCGATCAACCGTCCTCCGGGAGCTGATCCTGCCGTCGAGGGGGCTCAAGTTGCCTCTTTTTAGGTCGCATTCAGGAGGGGGAAAAAGGTGCATCTTTCTCGTCTGAAGAGAGTTAATGCCGAGTCGTGGCAAAGAAAATACAGTTTCTTTCGTTTTTATGCTCAGCCCCAGAAGTGGCCTCAACCGCGTGCTTGGCCAGACCAAAGCCAGGAAGACCGTACCGACCGCAGTGAAGGCAAATACTCACCGGATGTCAGTAATGTCTGTGGGCGTGTGTTCGGCAACGTGACGTAGAGGGTCAGTCAAGCGAAACGGGAATGAAGAGGCAGGGCGAAAATGTTGCCGAGGTAGCATGTAAGTTATAAAAGAAATTCATCATTTAAAGGAAAATTGTCGACAAACTGTGGCGAAACATTACATTGCCAGTATTTTATGCAAAAACCAGGCGCCGATATTCAATACCAACGTAAAGGGCGGTGAAACCTGGCGGAGCTGGTGCGGAAGGAATCGTTTGAAGTCGCTTCCCGAAGAGGCGCCTTAAAGGGAAAACGAAAAGATTTGTCTCGCCATGGTGACGCCAAAAGAAAAGTGAGTAGATTAATCACAAAAACGTGCTTCTAAAATTAAGACAATAAGCCTTGCCGCAGAGAGTCATCGTGACGGTAGAGCGAAGGTATAACCACTAAATTAGTTGCGAAACCGAGGCTAAGCATCAAAGCGATAAGTTGCACCGCGGAGAGACGTTAAAAAGAAAAAGCCCAAAGATTTGAGGGGCAGATGCGAAATAATGTCTCTCTCTTGCCTCCCATATTAGCCAACCTTATTATTCAATTGATGATATGAAGACCAAGATGTTGTGGCCTCTGGTATGGTCGCAGTCTCCTTTCGATTTATAGAAGTGG